ACGATGTACCCCTCTTAAGGAAAAGAACTAATCATCTGACAAATGATGGCACCAGTCCTTTTTCTCCATCAGAGATTGCAGTGCACTGGAGGTGACCACCTGCTCCGTGCTCTGGGAACACCTCAGTGACAGCCCAAGGAAAAGAAGGATTGTTTTTTTGCCCAGTGATGACAATCACAAGTAGAAAGAAAAGACAGGTCAAGAGGTTTGAAGTCCAGTTAGTCCTAACTTGAGGCAGGGAAAATGGACTAGATGAGTCTGCCAGAATGCCTCTGTCTTCCTGCAGGGCTTGAGCTCTTCAGGCAGCTAGACAGGGGACAGCTGGTTCGTCAGCAGCGTCATGTCCTGGTGGGTCAGACACTGGGACTGGCCAGAAAACCAGGCAGATTTGGACACACGCTGAGCTGATGTGCTGACCCCCCTCTTGTGTAACTCTTAACTTGAGCCAAATTAGTTAAAAAGTTACTTTCATCGACCTGCAACTAAATACATTCACGCAGTAGTTATGACTTCCACAGGGACGACCTGCCCTGAACCTTGTCTTTTATTAATAGCTTGGCAAATAATTGGAGAAGACACCGAAAACCTCCAGAAGGCAATTTCAGTGAGCCTGGGAGGATGTAGCCAGCAGTCATTCCCAAGGCCTGGCCTTGTGGGATTCACACCCTTGCTCCCTGGGTGAAGCTGGGAGTCAGGAAGGTGATTTCTGGAAAAGAGGGGTGTCCCTTGAAGCCCCTCCTCACTGCCAGCCCAGAGGGGGAGGAGGCACCACCCACCCACCATCACCCAAACACAGCACAGGGCACTGCTGAGACCCACACCCAGTGGCTCAGCAATCCAGGAAGCAAACCCTGCTTCATCCACATACAGTTAGAAACAATTCAACACGGAATAATTAAAAAAAAAAAACAAACAAAACACAACTTTTTTATTTAGACAAACACAAGGAGAGTTAGATGGGATTTATGAGCAAAGTTTTTTTGGTTGGAGAGCCAACGTGTACTTGAAAGCATTGCAAGAGACCAAGTCTTTAGCAGCGTGTTGTAATCATTTGTGAAACTGCAGGAGCCAGATTTATTTATTTCTTGAAGCCAATTACTTCCCGTCCTCTCAGGGATGGATGAGCCCCCAGCTACAATTCCTTTTCATTCTGGTGCTTGTGACGATGGAGATGAAATGTGATTTTCCTTGCTAACAAATGCTCCAAAAAGTAAAAAAATAAAAATAAAAATAAGAAAGAAAAAGCATGTGTTTCTCTGTTGTGGAAAATAGGTCTCGGCATGCTGGAAATCCTGCATTTTAGTTGTTTTCCAGCACAAATGCTCCATTTTTTATTTTTTTTTTTAATGAAATGAATAATCGTTTTCTCTGATTTATGTTTTCTTTTCTGCCTCATTTGGCACTAATGCTGTGTTATTACAAGAACAACTGTTCCCTGCAAAAAGAATGATCTTTAGACATCTCATCCAAAACCTTTGAAGTCACTGGAAACAAACTGAAAAGAAAGGCAGAGAGGCCACATACATGAGCAGCAACTGGACACTTTCCCACTGACCAGGCAGGTTTCCTACTCATCACCTGATGACAGGGAGCTGCAGTTCCCTACAACTTCTCAGACACAAAGAAAAACTCCCTTCCAGGTCAGGTACCAAGTCCATGGCTTGCAGTGTTCAGGTCAGAAGTCAGAAATGCTGATAAAACGTGGGACAGACAGGGCACAACCGAGTCCCAGGAGCAAAAGCAGAGGCTGGGGAAGTCTTCACTGTTGAGCATCCCTGGGATGTGAAACGGCACCGTGTCCAGCTTGGGGAGAACAGCAGCAGTACCAAGTGCCACAGCTCCTGAGCTCTCGAGGGTTGAGGAATGTGCTGGGAAGCCAAACGGCAACCAGGAGCGTTTTAGAAAGGAACTTGGGAGAAGAATCGGCAGGGAATTAGTGTCAGGTACTTTTCCCATTTCCAACGTCTATCATTACATCTCAAACGTGCTAATAAAATCCAGTGGTTACGGCTGGGTTTGTTTTTCTTTCTCTCTTTGTCAAAGCGTGAACCTTAAACATGCTGCTGCCACCGCTAGGGAAAAAAAACAAAAAAACAAACCAGAAAAAATCAACTTTCTTACGCTTCAAATCGCCATGCAACCACCAGAAGCCGAGACGTTGCTCCCCCGGTCGGAGGGAGAAGA